GAGAGAGAGGAGGAGGGGGTGGATGGAAGGCCGATACAATGCTGGCCTCTCCCGCGAGTCGACTTTCCTTGATACATCGCCATTGAACCATTGTCCGCCTCCCAATGCCCGAACGAAGGACTCCGAGGACGAAAAATTCAATTCAGCTTTTAAATTATTCTCCCCTCCGCCTCCCCCTGCCGCCGTCCCGCCCCGAGCCGGCCGGTCGGCTTTCGAGAACGGGGAGAAAAAAAATAACGTCGGTTACGTCGTCTGACGTACAACTCCGCGTCGACGGGGACGATCTACCCCCCCATAATCGTAACGAGATCCATTCGTTCCACAAACCTAATGAGACGTTTCTTTCTGCAAGAGAAATGGAAGAAAGTGGAAGACGCGCGAGAAAACGTACTCATCGATATATCCCGCTTCCGACACTTTTGTGAAATTTTCGACGATAGATGACATATAAATATCGTTATGATATCGGACGTTCTCTTATTCAAGATGTTGAACAAGCTTTAAATTTCTAAATGCTGTTAATTTTACCTAAGGAACGAACAAAACCAAGTCTCTATGCAAGGAACTTTCTCTTAAGATGAACGATCCACTTAATATAACAAACGACTTAACTTTTCGAGTTAAGTGTGGCGATACGTTATCGACATTTTACAATGTAGAATTATCGTTATTGTTATTACCATCTACCAGACCGCTCTCGATTGATAAAAAGCCACTAACTAAACGCTATTAACGATCATGATCGCGAATGCTGTTTGCAATCGCGAAAGGATACCACTAAGGGGCCGCGATATCGGGGTGTTGCGGGCATAAAATGGGGAATGATTAAAATAACGAGACTACGCGGAGGGTTGTCCTTCAGAAATCCCCCGGTAACCGGGGACGCGGAGGAACCGAGCGACGCTGAGGGGTGACATTGTGCTGAAACAATGTGGCGGCCGACGCCCCTGGTACCTACCGCACGACATCAATTGACGCGCCTGCACCCCCGAACCGCCCCGCACCGCCCTCTCTTCCGCGTACACCCCCGTCGTAGATCGGGGATGAATTTCCCGCAGGAATCCGGATAAGAACGATGACGATGATGTCGTAGCCATCTTGCTGAGCAATTGATTATCTATATATACGCTCTAAGCGTCCAAATTATAATATTTAAATTTACAATTAACATTTTTCATGATTATGAAAGAATAGAATCAAATCAAAGAAATTTGATTGTTCGATTTTCTACTGCCCTTGTTTTTAATTCGCGAAAAAGAGATAGTCGTCTAATATTTATCGTAAATAAATGCGCAAAATTAAAATTTTCAAATATGATCGTTCTTCTGACAACGACAGTTTGACATATTTAACATTTTAACATAGACTTATACTAATATCATGTTGCGAAAAGAAAAATGTTCTGTTAACCTTCACTCTTGTTCCTATACTTACAAATATTATACACGTCAATCCATCCCTCTATCTATTTCTGGCTTCCTCTCTCCCTCTCTTCCTCCCCCCCCTCCCTCTCTCTCTCCCC